TCTTCTAACCAATACTCTCGAAAGGAAACCTTACTCATCCACAAATTGTAAATCTAGAAGAAGAAAAAAAATCACCAATGAATCGATAATTCATAAATAATCAATAAGCTAGAATTTTTGCATATTTACCATGTAAAAAATATTATAGCTAGATCATCTCGAAAGATGGACAGCGAATCCAAGGCATGTCTCAAATGCGTCAATAAAGACTTTGCGGCAAAGTCGGAGAGTCTCAGATTATCCACTTTTCAATGTGACTTTGAAATCGAACTCTTACCTCCCGTAGTCGTCGAAACGAAGTCGGCTATGGTAAGAAAATTCTTAAAGGTTCGCGGCATATAGTTTACGAATACGACCGCTCTCAAAAAGAGGGAAGAAGATACGACCACTCTCAAAGAGAGAGAAGAATATATGACCATTTTCGAAGAGATGGAAGAAACTAGAATTGATCTCTTCCAAAAAGAGAAGATTATAGGATTTGAGAATCGAAAAAATTTTAATCTAACAAACTCAAAAACATATAAGATTTTTAAAAATCTGCGTTTTAAAACCATGGAAAATGGGCCTAAAATGCTAAAGAGCCTAATACTCCACCTGGGCCAAGCCTAATACTGATACTTCTCGAAAGGAAGTGGAGACACCGACGAGATGAAAGAGTAATGTGATCACCATGACGGATGATTGCAAGTGTTACATTAGAAGCCTCTGGTCGGTTTTAATCGCGGCGGAGGGTGGTCTGAGCCTCGTCAGATCTTCTTTTGAGATACGTCTCCCACAAGGGAGGATGAATTTGATTCTTTTGTAGCAGCTCTGATATGGCAACACCGAGGCTAAGATCTACTGGAGAAAGCAGAGAATAACAACGGTAAGAGGCAAGACTCGGCGTGAGAGGCAGATCCGACGGATCTGGTGGTTCCGGAGGCACTTGCGGTTCAAGGCCCTCTTGCAGCTCCAATAGATTCACCACCGGCAACGTATTGGACGGGGAGATCAGACAAACTCGACGCAACTCAGCCATCACTATAGAGAAAGAGATACACGACATACCGCTAAGCTCGCCGATGAGATTTTGTAAAAGTTTTCCCTAAGGGAGAGGATTATTCGGGACATCGGCAAAGAGTTTAAAAATTTTGGGGAAAAATAAGTGTAGTCATCAACTACCAACCACTCAACCTTCTTTTCCGATGACAAGTTTTTTTTATCAAAGTGCGAAGTGTTATTTCTCAAAGACTTCCTCAAACACATGTCTTCTCCAAGTTCGACTTAAAAACATGATTTTGGTAGCTCGGAATCAAACCAAAAGACATGTTTAATACATAGATTTGCATACCATATCACCACTATCATTGGAAGATTATGCTTTAAGTTTAAGAACTAGATTTTTGTTCCTCGTCAAACGCAAGATTAGAATACTCGAGAATAAAAATTCATGATCTTTTATAATACACGGGAAAAATTAGAAATAAAAAAAATCAAATGGTATATATTTCATAAAGATAAATATAGTTTATCTTAAAAAATTTAATTTGCATGACAATTAGATTGAAGAAAAAAAGACATTTATATTAAATATAATAATTTTTAATGTAAATCGAAAACGTTTTATATTATCGGTTCTTTCAAACTTACTTGAGTTCACCAAAACCAAAAAATTATTGCGTTAGTATG